GTTGAGCGGATCAAGTGGCACGTGGACGCCTCGTCCTGATGTAATCCAAAGTTATTGCATTCTTTAAACTATCAACGGGATTCCCTTCTGTATAGACAGTAATTAGAATTATAAGCCGATAATCCTCGAGCGTTTCGCTGCAAAGTTTCGTCGTTACTGACGCTCACCTTTCTGTTGTAATTGAGCTCTAAATAAAAAGGTATCTGCATATACAGGGTGTTAATTAATAAGTGCACGGACAAACTTTAGGGGGTGGTTTTGCAGGAGGAAATAATGATATTGTTTATACTAAGAATAAGAGTGGTTTGCTTGAAAATTTGGAAATACTTAGATTCTGGATTCTTGCTTAGATAGATACTGATGGAGATTAATAAAATTTTAAGCTTTATCGAATGTTGTTTGTGTTGATTGAAATAAATTTTATTGTTAGAAGAAGAATTTAGCGTTTCAAAGTTGTTTCTTGCTTCGAAAGAAAAGATTTTATTGTCAAAATAAATGGATATATCAATTTAATAAATTATAGTGTTGAATTTCAAGCTAATTAATAAGCTTCTCTTAATCCTTTTAATCATTAAACCAAGACTCGATTAGCTCATTTCATAGTGAATAAAAGCATTCTCTATTTGCAACTAACATTTTGTTCCCGTACAGAAATTTCGATGGTACGAATGCGAATCCTCCATCGGCATTATAATTGCTCAATCAGACGACATTCGAATCGCCTTTTGTCGCTTATTCCTATTAATACCTCCCGTATTTTCGCACGCCGCATTAATTCCGATCGACTTCTGGTCCTTCGCTAACGAGCGGGAATCCCTTCCAGCGAGTCTATCGGAACTCCCGGGCGACTTTTAACCTGGATGGGCCCGTACAAAGGGGCCCCGCGGAGCCCTCAAGGGTGGCGCGTCGCTGTGGTCTTCGCTCCCACACGGAGCACCGAACTGCGAACTTTCGCAGCGATGGCAAAAAAAATTCTAAATGGAATAGGTAATTTTTTTGTGATTGCTTCGCGATGCGAGCAATCTAGAATCTAGAATGAAGAAATTAATAATCGTATATTATTAACTTCAATTCCTGGTGGTTTGCAGATCGATCAAGGAATTTATTGTGCCAGAATTCATATACAAACTTCAAATCAAATGCAACTGATGAAGAAATTAATAATCGTATATTATTAACTTCAATTTCTGCTGCTTTGTAGATCGATCAAGGAATTTATTGTGCCAGAACTCATATACAAACTTCAAATCAAATGCAACTGATGAAGAAATTAATAATCGTATATTATTAACTTCAATTTCTGCTGCTTTGTAGATCGATCAAGTAGAATCGATTCACTCGTTAGTAAATATACTCACAGAGTTATATTATGAAACACGAGAAACTAAACTGTATTATACATATCAGCAACAATTCGAATTGTCTATTAAGCTCTTCCGCACGCCCCCTACGGGTGCATTTCCCGAAATATAATCCGGATAATACCCGAATAATGCCATTATTCCGGCAAATATCGAGAACGGGAAGTTAAATGGGACTCAGTCAATATTAAAACAACCCCGAATTCTCGCTCGTTATATTCCATCGTCTCTTCGTTCTATCCCCTCGGTAATCCCTCAATAATCTCTGCCGTGTTAAATTGCGCAAAAACGCTTACCTGTTCGCGAGGAAATTGGTTTTTCGATGTTCCAACTATACCTCTACTACACAGAAGACCAGTAGTGATAGAGACGAATTTGATAGACAAAATATTTCAATAAATTGATTAAAAAACGGATTTTTCCCTATCTTTTAATGTGAGCCACTGTTGTACATAGCCCCACAATTATCCAGAATCATTTCGAACGCTCTAGAATCATTTAGAACGTTCCAGAATCATTTAAAACGTTCCAGAATCATTTAGAACGTTCCAGAATCATTTAGAACGCTCTAGAATCATTTAGAAGGCTTCAGAATCATTTAGAACGCTTCAAAATTTTTTAGAACGCTCTGGAATCATTTAGAACGTTCCAGAATTCTTTAGAACGCTCGAAAATCATTTAGAACGCTTCAGAATATTCTTATTTAGAACGCTCTAGAATCATTTAGAACGCTCTAGACTCATTTAGAACGCTCTAGAATCATTTGGAATGTTTCAGAATCCTTTAGAACACTCCAAAATCATTTAGAACGCTCCAGAATCTTTTAGAACCCTCCAGAATCTTTTAGAACGCTCTAGAATCATTTAGAATGCTCCAAAATCATTTAGAACACGCCAGAATCATTTAGAACGCTCCAAAATCATTTAGAACGCTCTAAAATCATTTAGAACTCTCCAGAATCATTTAGAATGGCTGGGGCTTCTTTCTCATTTCATGCCAAAACCAATTAAACTTCTCGAAACCATCCAACCTAAACTTTTGACCCTGCAAAAAAAAAACACCAAACACCAAACACCAAACAGAAGAGTTTTCTAACATACAAAAATAAAAATCTTGGCAATATTCGTAGTTATTCTCCGCATTATTATAGAACCTGCAACCGATTATTTTCCAAACCATTGCAAGTAACGTTCGAAAAATAGCCAAATCAACGATTCAATTTTTAATAACTCCTTAAAAAACCACCCGAATTGTGCCTTTTGTGCACCCCGTCCCATTCTCCATCATCGTCGCATAACATTCTTCATCAACGACTCGTTTTGAATCTAGCGAATTCTGTTCGAGCCGAGACTGAAGTGGGCCTCCAGCTACCTCTACGGCTACACGGGCTCGAGTGGCTATTGTACGTTCGCTCTGCTTAGTAGGCTCTGTACTATTGTCCTTGCACGGAATACAAAAAAAAAAATGGAACGCACTTATCGCGATGAAAAGTCCTAATGCGCTATTTACGCGGCTATTGTTCCGCGTGTACGTCGGGAACACCAGCGAATATCCATTCCTTTCCGTTCGGGAACTACGAGGAAAATGTTTCTAGTTGTCGTTTAAGAATATTACAAGATTGCTCTACAAGAATACTACAAGACAGCGGTAAACTCTGTTGCCAACATATTCACGATGTACTTTTATAACTCGTCCTTGTTTGACACTCGCTAGTTTCTAACGGTGTGTCTTTGTCTTGGAGCCTTTGACAATTTTGACGTGAATAGTTAGCGCCAAATTTAAATATTTACGCTTCAAAACTATTTTAAGATGCTTGTTGTTTACCTCAGTGTTATGTATAAACCGCAAACACTAAACACAAACCAATCCAATAATCAAAAATCCAAATATAATAATATTACGACGCCTTGACAGTTATGAAGCAGGTGTCAAATGTCATAGTGTCAATGCCAGAGCCAGAAAAGGACGCATCAACATTGCAAAATGTCTAATAGCTATTTCTTATTTCTACTTTTCTTTCACTACAAATAAGTAATCGAGCAGCTGTTTTGTACAATAATTAGTTAATTAAAATGTATACGCATTTAAATAGTATTACTGCATTTCAAAACAATTATTTTAGATAGTAAATAAAAATATTTTTATCGTACATCGTACATATTACAAGAGTGAAAAATTACAACAAATGTCTGAACCTGGCAACAATGGCAAGTTTTCTAATGTATCTGTTGTATACTAATACGTTCAGATTTTTATAGCGCATGCTCAATTGGCAGACCAAAACAAAGATAAATCTATACTGAATTCCATAAAGCAAAAAAAGAGAGTATAATTTAGGCATGTTGTAGATGTTGGCAACAGAAACGTAAATGTAATTCTTATGGCATTGATGCATCCACGTTAGTATATATGATCTAAGGATTGCTCAAACTATACAAGGAAGAATCTTCCACAGCGAAGTCCTGATGAGGAAGTTAGTAACATTTTTTAGTATATGTTAAGAAAAACTTTATAGAAAAACAGCTTAGGTAGGTATTAGATGAATAATGCTGTCGTGGAGATCTCGCCACAATGATTAATCAGATGGGGGTTGCGGTCTCGACCCCAGCGCGTAACTTGCAGTTATGAAGGGCCGAAGTCAAAGTGAAAAGTGCTCGGAGACGCGATCCGGACGTACAAAGGCATTACCATAAGTTCACAATGGTCGAGCCGGGCTGAAAACTCTCCGAGAGTTGAGACGAGAGTACTCCAAACGCCGTCAGGGAGCCCTCTCTGCGCTCTTTTCGAAAGCGCACTGACACGGAAACTGATTCGCCATTGTTTGTGGTCTTTTACTTATGCGCTCTCTTTATACGTCGATACTTTTATCGCAAGTACAATTGATTATTGTCGCGATGCACGTCAACGGAAATTGTTCATTTTCAACGTAAAAATGCAATCCGTGGAAGCGAAATTAGCCTTTTTTTTTAACCAACGAAATATTTCACATGGAAAGTTTGTCAAACGTACAATGCAATTCAGTTGCCGAATAAAGGGTAATGTTCAAAATAAAATAAATTTATACAACTTACCCCATTTCCGATTGTAATATGGTCATTTGTATGAGTGGAACAAGGAAAGATTATTAAAATGACAGTTGTCAGAGTGAAAAGTTGCAATGACACAAATGTCACTCTTTTTCTTTTATAAGTGTCTAATAGAAGTTGTCTTTATCGCACCCGTTGCCTATATAACCTGGGTTGCGATCAAAAATGAAGCAACCTGTATACATTTTTTCTATTTAATTAATGAAAAAACAACCTGTATATCAAATTAAATGCCAAGTATTCCGTGGTAACGGAAATGACCACTTTGACAGTTCGAAGTTTGTTCATCGCCGCTGTCATTACTGTCAGTTTTTTAAGTAATTCGATAGTTTCTAGATTTTCGGTAAGTACAAATGACCAAGAAACGTTTACTTTTGCTTATTATTATATTTTCTTTTATTCTCGTCCAATAAAAACGACGAATTTGTCCAAATAACCGTACTATTAAATTCATTCGCCAGATAAATGTTTCAAGGAAAGGGTAATGTTCAAAATAAAATTACAAAGAATATATGCTATTTTATTAGTTTTATTTGATTAAAAAAGAACATCTACTATTTATTGTAATTGTAAATCAATTTTACATCTTTACCTCATAGAATTGTTCACGAAATGGAATACAACAAATAATTTATCATTAAAAAAAACCCAACGATATGAATTGGAATTCTTGCACTCGATAAAAATAATGCCACAATTACAAAAGTGAAAAAAATAGTTGTCAAATTTTTACAACACGCATTTTCTAACAACGAAAGAAAAATTATAAATGGATAGTGCCCTGAAAATAGATTTATTTCTCTCAATAAAATCGTCCAATCATAGTTTACACTTTTCTCTAAAATAAAGTTATCTTCTAGAATACCGGTTCGTCACTTCGTATCTATCCTTATAAGGTCCAGGAGGTCGAGCACGTTGCTGATCCCGATCGTTCCTACCCGCCTGGTTACCGTAACCAGCATTACGGTAACCGCCCTGGTTACTCGAATAATTACCCTGGTTGTTCGAATAATTACCGTGGTTACTAGAATAATTACCTCCGTAATTATTGCTGTTGTAACTATTGCTTCCGAACTGATAGTAACCCGACCGCTGTTGATAGGACGAACCCCTATCGAACGACCGTTGATTGTATTGATTTCTATAATCTGCAAGAAATAAAAAAACAAGATGTCTTGAATTGGGCGGTTATTTTTTCTTAGATTATCTTGTTAAGGATAGGCGATTGGAGCTCAAATTGATCGAATGAAATAATGTCAAAATGTGTTATTTGTCTAACAAACTCAGTTTTGAAGAAAAAAAAAACATTAGATCTGTCATTTAGAACTGTCTAGAACCATTTGGAACGATCCATAGTTATTTAGAACGCACCAGAATCAATTAGAACTGTTTAGAACACTCCAGAATCATTTAGAACAGTCCAAAAACCATTTTGATCGCTTCAGAATCATTTAGAATTGTCAAAAACAATTTAGAACGCTCCAGAATCATTTAGAACTGTCTATAGAACAACCTAAAACGCCCCAAAATCATTTAGAACTGTCCAGAACTCAAGATTTCTACTTAACAAGAAGAACAATGTAATTTTTCAACTGAAAATCAAGGTCCTTCATTGCAGGACCGAGAACTTTCCACCTAACCCTCTTCCATACAAGCGGTTTTTATGGATTCAATCCTTCTGCATTATCACACGAATTGAAGAGTCTTCTTAAACAACACCTTGTACCTTTGATTACACATGGTTAGTACCCAAATTCCAGCAAATCACCGAATCCCCATCGAAGCGATAATATGTCAAAAATGGAGATTTTATGCGATAAAATTGATGTTCAGTTCAGAAGATTCCTTGAAACAAATCTATCATTCGCCTAATAATCGTTCCCTTTAAACCGTTAGCTTCTTTAATCACCGGTCGACTGAATGTCTGTGAGATATTTAAGTATATTCGTAAGTTGCCGAAATCCCGCTTATCTGGTTTTGACGCCCCGTTCGGAAAAACCGTCCGCATTCGAATATCTATTGTAAATTGGATCTTGCGGCGAGTCCGGTGCCTCTATATATGTCCTTTTTCGCCCATTGTGCGAATCGCGCTCCCTTGATTGAAAATCCTTTGTGGAAACTCTCAGGTATCCGTCGGCCGTTGACGAAATTCAATTTTCCCGAAGAGAGAATTAGAAGGAGCCCGGGCGAGCGTGAAGTGCGGTCGGATCGAATTGACCGCGCCAATTATGACCGGCAACTGACTATGGGAAATATTCGTACGTTTTATAACGCCTGGGATGTTTGGTACTCGATTTATTTTAGAGAAAAAAATTGATAATTCAAAAGGGTATTAAAGATGTTTTTTGTTTAAATTTTGTTATATAGTAGGTGTACCTGTTACCAATCACGTAATGAAAAATGCTTGGGGTTTGTTGACTTTATATTTCTGTGGATATATGTCGAATGGATTAAATTTTACTACAGTTAAATTGCTGAGTAGTTGTTTAAAGATTTATAAACTGTTGCTGTTTATATTCTACCATCTTGTAGATTTATAAAAGAGGAACCTGGTGGTACTGATAACTCAATTTTTCACAAAAAAAATCAAGTCGTGGCATCCATCCACAGATTTGGATTTCAAGGGAGCTCAAGGGAAGTCCAGAGCTTTATAAATATACCCTAATGTAATGCTATACAATGTCCTTATTTCTGGAATTCAATAACCATATTAAATTACCAACGACACATCATTCTAATCGCGGAAGATTAAACGCGACACTTTGTTCGGATCCCTTCCCAGTTTATATACAGTGAGGACCAAAAGTCCGTCAGCAACAATTTTATAGTACGTTCAGAATTAATTCTTAAATGTATCAATATGCCCGGGAGTAAAAACTAAATTGGTCTTCACGTGAATACGCTTTATTAAAATGTTTTCAAATTTGGGAGTTGACCTAAGAATGAAATTACTTTTAAAACGAGGTGTCACTTGACCCCCCTTTCAATAAGAAAAAAAGATTCAAAATGGCGCCTAACTCCCATTTTGAAAGTTTCAACTGTAATTTTTACGTCAAAAAATAGCATTTTTACACCAATATAAACACCCCAAATTTCGCGACAAAAGCTCTTACCATTCAAAAGTTAAAGGAAGGGCGACGGGACTCTTGGTCCTCACTGTATAGACTCTATATTATATTATAGAGCGATCGCGATACCGGCGCTCGTATTATAATCGGAACATCGGAAGGATAGAGGATAGAGCTCCGGGAACTCGAACCAACAATTTTGTCGCGCATTGTTCGTTTTGTTTGTGGGTGTGACGTAACAATGACGATGTGACAGCGTTCCGCCCGGCGGCGACGGACCGCGTAATTGCGGCTTTTGTACGCCCGTCATCGACACTCACACGCCTAATTTCTCTCGATCGACGGTGGCGCCCTCTCCTCCCCTCCTTCGTCCGTTCGTCGTCACTCTCCGAGGAGCCCCCCTCGCGAAATTGGATCACATCAAGAGTGTAGTTTTTTTTGCTCGAATTTAAGCGTATAAAAATAAACGCTCGGGAAGGCTCCCTCCACTAATTAACATTTTAACATTTACTTAAATACGAGTCACCCTGTACAATATTTCAATTTAATTTAAAATAATTTTTCACTTGAGATTAAGAAAACGCCTCGTATATCAATTTTTCCGATAAATGACAATTTTGACAGTTCGAAATTTGTTCATCGCCGCTGTCATTACTGTCAGTTTTTTAAAAGTAATTCGATCGTTTCTACATTTTCGGTAAGTACAAATGATCAAGAAACGTATATTTTTGCTTATTATTGCATGTTCTTTTATTCTCGTTCATTAAAAACGACGAATTCGTCGAAATAACGAAAAAATCTCTCATTTCGGTGTAGTTCGGGTAGTTCCGTTTAAAACCAAACGAACCGACAACGTCAATCAAACAATTTATTTAGAAACCTGTCAAAAATGTCACTTTTAAAATCGAATTAAACTCAGTTTGAATTTCGATCTCCCCCTTCACTTGCTTTTGTTGTTGTTAAACCTTCATACACCGTGCTTCATTCGCGATTGCAACATGTGCTTTTCTATGAGTTGAACAAAGAAAGATTATTAAAATGACAGTTGACAGAGTGAAAAGTTACAATGACACAAATGTCACTCTTTCCTTTTCCTTTATAAGTGTTCAATTAAAGTTGTCTTTGTTGCACCCATAGCCTATGTTGCAATGAAAAATGGAGCAATCTGTATATTTCAAACACCTCGACCGATTATTATCAATTTATTCCCGTTCCCGATAAAATAATTCCTTAATGACATAAGCTCGCAACCCTCGAAGGTCGCCCGGAATAATAATTGCAATCGCACACAACGAACTCGGAGCGCCAAAGGTCACGTGCCGACGGCGGTCGCGTGCTCTCAATCATCTATTAAAACAAACAAACGACCGTCGTCGCTCTCCCCCTCGCCCCCCGCCCCCCTTTTTCCCCCGTTCCCCTTCGTTCGAAACACGTCAAACGTCAAAGGCAAACGCCCCCGAGAATCGAATTTACCATTGACGAGCATTATTGACCGTAAGGTCGGCCGCACGCCGCATTAACAACTCGTTATTTATTTCTTAAATCCGATGCGAATTGAATTTTTGAAAAATGGCATCGGTCGTTATTTACACACCTTGCTCCTGCACCATTTTTTTTTAGATTGACTAATGAGTCGCTGGCAGTTATTTCAAAACCGGGTATATAGACTATAAAACTCGCTGATAAGGATTATAAAGGATATCCATTTTCGTTACGACTATTTGGTAATTTTTAGTAATTTCCGCGCAGTTCAAAATGTCCCTAGTACCAATGTTAATTCTCCCATTTGACTAGGGGAATTTTACGACGCGCAGTTGAACTTCCGAAGCGATGTTGTCTTGCGTTAGTCTTAAAATTCCGCTCTTTTATGTTGACAGGTTATATTTACAATTTGTTGTTTTTTGCTACTTTTTATGCGATTTTTCGCATTTTTCTTGAAATTCATGCAAGTTTACGAGTAGGTTTTGTGTTTTCCGTTCGTTTTAGAGAGTTTTTTCGTGCGGTTTTCGGTTTGTTTTTCGACCTATTTTGATAGAGAACGGGACGGTGGAGGGAAAGAAGACTATTGGAATAATTGACCTAATCGTAAAAAATCACATGTTTTGTTAAATCAATGTTCGCAAGCTCATATCTCCTCCTGACCTACTTTTTTTATGTTTAAATTCAACTATTTAAGACTTTTTTAATTTGTAAACATAACCTTAAATTGAATATATCTGTCACAACAAGGATATCAATTACAACCCGGCAACGTTGCAGCAGGCTGGTCCGAGATCCACTAGTCCAACGAAAACGGACAGCCTTTAAGAAATATTACTGCATTTGGTGTAATATTTCAATAAACTTACCATTATAATTCCTTCTCTCAGGATTATTAGGAGGAGGTACATTCGAATACTGTCCTTGCTCGTTCCTTTTATTATAGTGATTCACCATCCGATGGCCGGACTGATCCAAACTGGCCCTACAAACGCATTTCGTGTGAAAAATCATTTCCTAAACCATTAAAAATATCTCCCAACCTTTGCGTAGACGGTACCATGCCGATTTGAGCGCGCCAATTTCTGTTGTCTTGAGCGCTGAGATCGCTGGGTTTCAACACCCTAGGAGGATCTTTGGCCCCCTTCAATCTTTTAGCCAGGAAAACGTATCCTTTGGGATATTGCGGATCTCTGTATCTAACGCAACAAACCGCGTTATCGGTTATCGGCTGCAGATCGGTCACAGGCGATTCCAATAATCTAAAACGGAATCATTTCATCCTATTGCATTATTATAAATCAAATCGTATTACCCTCCTTCCTCGACATTAACATCCGAAATGAGAACAGTCCCCGTCATTCCATCTATGGTGATACTATACTGAGTATCATCATCCAATTTTTGTTTGTACATATTAATCAACGTATCGTATCCACTATTCTTCGGCATCACGTACAACCTATCGTCGCCTCGAACGTTTCGTCGCAACTCATCATCAGACAATTTCTCGTAATAAGGTTCCAGAGCTTTGAACAGTCTCGTTTCGTCGACGAAAGGCAACAGAGCTACACCCTGCCAGGCGAACTTCTTACCGTTGAGATCTATCTTGAAATCCTCGGGATAGAAATCGATTATAGAGGAATCCTACAAAACGAATTTTCATAACGAAAAAAATCGATATATTAGATACACTCTTACGGGATCCGACATCAATTCAGCCCAAGCCGAAGGAACGTGTTGGTTACTGGCGGCCGGAAACACGCCCATCAGCTGTTCCAACGGTTTAAACTACAAGTAAACGGAAACAATACTATCAAAATTAATACCAACGATAGAGTGGGTATTACTTGCCGGTTCCGTATCTCTCTCGAACTCCGTGCTAAGTCCGGCGATGTTGCAAAAATCGGACGCGAACGGAGCGTAGTGGTACGGGTAGAACCATTTCCACGAAGCGCAACCTTGATAGTAGTATTTCAGCACCCAGCACAATCCTCGAACGTAATGCAAAGCCACGGCGTATCTGAATTCCAGTTCTTCCGGTTTCACGTCGAATTTCGATTCGTAGTAACGATCTTTGAATCCGTCCTCCCACAATCGGACTTCGTCGTTCGGCTGGTCCTCTTCCGAATCGTCATTCTCCTCCCTGGGTCTCTTTACCCCCTGCGGGGATTCATCGGATTGACCGGACGGTACAAACATCGATTCTAATGCAGTTCTAGAATCAGTTTGTAACTGAAACTCGGGATTGGAGTTCGATCTCGAATGCATTCCAGCCTTTCGGATGTTGAAGGCTTCGTTCCGGGCGTTTACGATCGGTTTCTGTTGACCTATAGCCTGTTGGAAATATTATTATTAGAGTTTCGAATGGATCGAACGCGAGTTAACTTACGGTCGGAGCGAATTGGGTGTCTTTAACTAAATTCCAATTGGGCCGGTACTGATTGAAGCCCTGGGTTCTTCTCTTTTTCGCCTTTTCGCGCGCTTTAAAGTTCAATTCGTTCTGTTGCCGCTTTTTGAATATTTCGTCTTCGGCTTTACCGAGCTCCAACATGATCATCTGGACTCTTTCCAGGTTGACTTCACCGCTATCGGTCAACCAGCCCTATAAATAAAACCAAATAAAATACATTCGAAACATCAAAAGTGTTGTACTTACGTTCGTTTTATAAACGCACGTCTTATACAGCCCTATCAATCTATCGATGGCACCTTCTCTTATTTCGAGACTTGGTAAATGAGGTAGAAAATCATTTCCAACGAAAAAGCACATAAAAACCCAATCGTCTAATGCCCTTTCGAAATCGTATTTAAACGGCAAATTGGTCATCATTAATTCTCTCTCGAGATACTCCTTCAAAACGCACAATCTAACGAAAATGAACTCGGGTTCCGAACCGAAGGTAACGTCCGCAGGTTTCTCTTCTTCTGATCTACACCCACCGACGCATTCTTTCATTTCATGACCTGTATAAACACATTATAAAGCAATTTTAAATGATATGGTTATTTAATATACCGGTTTGTCCGCATATTTCGCACGGTCTCGGTTGATTGGGTTTAAATTCCTCTCTGATAATAGTGAAATTAGGCTCGTGCGTTGCCAAACCTAACATGATAAGATCAGCGTCAGCCCCGCATAAGACATGCTGAGTATTAGGATCGTGATCCGGTTGGCCTCTTTGCTTTCTTATAAAGTCCATAATTTTGTGTTCACCTTCACCGGGAACGTTGGCGTCAGATAAAATAACCTGTAATGTTTTTAAATATATACGAATTAATAAATAATTCATGTAAGGTTGTGGTTTATACTTTTATATTTTTCCAACCGGGGTCGTTGTTGAGCCTCTCGTGGATGTAATAATGCAAACAATCGGATAAACGGGCCATAAACGGTGTACCGGGGGTAATGCAGTTCGAATCGAAATGCTCTTCTTTCGGTTTCTCAGGCGGTAAAACGATACCTTTCAGAAGCAATTCCGCTCGAATTCGTTTGATTTCTTGAATTTTCTCGGTAGTTTCTTTCGCAGCCCTGCAAGCGATTCACAAAAAGAATTACATTTGTTGCTACTACGGTAGCGATTTACCTGAATCGTCTGGATCTTTGCTGGTTCATTTTAGCTCGAGGAGCCACCCCGTCGATGGCCATGTACAAAACTTTCCTCGGTCTCACGATCCTGAACAATCTGTCTATGCATTCGAATATGGCGATCATCATTTCGTCTTCGTTTTTCGGAGCTGGCTTGTTTTCCGGATGGGTACACGGGTGGATGATGCCGTTCATGTCCAAGTATAAATTATCGAATTCGATGCCATTCGGATTGGGCTCGGACGAGTTTACGGGAATGCTTACTCCGTTGACGTCTATCGGCTGAAATCGTTGGAAATATGTGAGAATGTTGGGATATCAATAAACATAACCTTACTTTTTGTTCGACGCAATTTACTATGACGGACGGATATTTCCTAGTCAGCCAGCGGAAGAATGCTGGTACACCCATTGTTAGAAGAATAAAATTACTTTATATCAAACAATTCGGCATTATTGGGTAGTAAATTGTTGTTGGAATTAATAGCCGCTCAAAATTTACAGCTATTTTCAGGTCAATGATTTTTTTTTTTGGTTATGGTTGTCGTGTGAAGTTGGAACAATCTTCTTCTTCTTCTTTTTGGTATGTGTTTACAAAATAAAACTACTAGCCAGTATTTACTTATAAAACTTAATTATTCAAGCTGACTGTAGTAAATTACATTAATTCATTACAACAAAATTTTAACAGTTAAAAAAATTATTTGAAATGAATCTAAGCAGGTAAGAGGAACTGATTTCCGAAGAGTCTATGTTTAGAAAGTAGACAGATGACAGGCAAGAAGAAGAAGAAAACAAAATTCATTTATTAGTCGGGGACGCATGACAATTTGTGCTTTTCGGTTTTAGGAACTGTTTGAGTTATTCAGTTTTGTATTCGGTTATTTTGTAACCTGCATTTCGGTAAAAGGTTTCTCGCGGTCAACATTGAGTTCCCATTTATCTACTTCCTAGTCTTTCACAGCGTGTAATATTATTTAACGAGCGCTACTTTCCATATTTCATTTATATTTGTCTCCAATTGGAACCCATAGAACTGGAGCAAACTTTCATCGGCAGTTCCTTCTTTATTACTGGTATGTAAATTTAACTTTTTTTTTATTCGAACAAGGTACACAATTTAGTACCAATGAATTAATTGCATTCTCAGATCCATTCAAAATGAAGGACGTTATTGATGTTATGGAGCTACAGCGTGAGAAGACTCGTAAAAACGTTCCAATCGACTACAAATCATTGGATTTCAATAATGGATTTACGCCCGCGAGGTTCATTTTCGAATGCGGCATTAAATTAAACGGCCAGCCTTTGACTTTGGCTACAGCAGCTGTTATTATGCATAGATTTTTTAGAGAAGTCGATCATACGAATTATGATTGTTTTGTAAGTATATACTCTTTTTTATTCGTAATGTTTCTACCATCAAATACAGTGAAATACCTTCAATCTTATGACTTTGTTTTGGTAATTTCTTGTACAAGATGATCATGTTAATTGATATTTTCTTGAATTGTTGATTTGTCAGCTATACTATGTATAAACATATCATACATATTAAATACTATGTAATAGATGCTACATATTGGTTTTGAAAGCTGTTGATTTAAGTAGTATTTCCCAGAGTAATTAATTTATATAATTCTAGCCAAAATAAGTTTAAGAAATAATGTAGGTACTCATTTTCTTAATGTTCAATGAAATATTTTAATGGCTTTATAATTGATTTCTCCATTTACATCCTTCTAAATTACATCTATTCTGGAATAAATATCATTATAGTCCTTTTGATAATAGTAAACAGATTTGTAGGTGAAATTGTCCTTTGTATGAAATTTTCAGAATTACTTTCATATAATAATTAATTTCATTATCAATTGCATTTTAACATGTTTTATTGAACCTAAAACCTAAGATAAAAGTTTAATCAAAAAATATTTTTGTGATCAAACTTTTATAGCGATTTCTTATCAAGCTTAAAATATATATTTCAATTTCCGCGTGTTAAAACAAAATGATACAGGGTCATTGCTTTGAGTGAAATACAAGTAAATGAATATTTAATGTGGTTATTTAGACATTGTATTAGTATAAATATAAATTTAATATTCTAGACTAGTATATATTTACACTCACAATTCCTGTAAGCAATAAAGAATATTAATTCGTAGATAAAATGCTGATATAAGCTATTTTTGTTTAATATAAGCATTTTTTTTTTGGTACCGATAAATATTTTGGAATTTTCAGAAATTACCTTTTTTCATAACATTTTACATCGGTTAAAATTTTATTTGGAAAAATCTTATCACACATTTATAACGATGAACTTCTTGCACTTCGCCTCAGTCATAACATCGAAATTACTACGCTTCAAGCAATTAAACATTACATATTTTTAGAAAACTAATTAAACCGTACACTTAACATATCTATTGCCCCCTAGGGGTCAATAGATTTCCACCAATCGACCCTCCAATTGCGTTCTACATAAAATCCTCCATCGACCCAATTTTTTAATTCCACTTTTATTCATCAATTTTTTAGCTGATAGCGGCATCTTCCCTGTACCTGGCCGGTAAAGTGAAGGACGATTCGCTGAAAATTCGAGACATAATAAACGTCGCCCACAATACTTTACATCGAGGTAGCAATCCCCTGGAAATCGGCGACGAATATTGGAACATGCGCGACGCCATCGTCCAGGCCGAGCTGCTCATCATGAGGATCCTGAAATTCGAAGTCGGTACCATCCATCCTCATAAATACCTGTTGCATTACCTTCGATCGATGGAAGGGTGAGTTTAGAGTGTTTGTCTAATCTTCTAAGCAAGGAAATTAACAACATGGGCATTTCTATGAGTGGAACAAAGAAAGATTATTAAAATGACAGTTGTCAGAGTGAAAAGTTGTAGTGACAGAATGTCACTCTTTCCTTCTTCTTTATAAGTGTCTAAGTTGTCTTTATCGCACCCGTGGCCTATATAACCTATGTTGCGGTCAAAAGTGGAGCAACTTGTATACATTTTTTCTATTTAATTAATGAAAAAACAACCTGTATATTAAATTAAATGTCAAGTATTCCGTGGTAACGGAAATGACAACTTTGACAGTTTGAAGTTTGTTCATCGCCGCTGTCATTACTGTCAGTTTTTTTAAAAGTAATTCGATCGTTTCTAGATTTTCGGTAAGTACAAATGACCAAGAAACGTTTATTTTTGCTTATTATTATATTTTCTTTTATTGTCGTCCAATAAAAACGACGAATTTGTTCAAATAAACGTACTACTAAATTCATTCGCCAGATAAATGTTTCTAGGAAAGGGTAATGTTCAAAATAAAATTACAAAGAGTATATGCTATTTTAGTGGAACAAAGAAAGATTATTAAAATGACAGTTGTCAGAGTGTCACTCTTTCTTTTTCTTTAAAAGTGATCATAAAACAGTAACTATCTCATTTTCACAGCGAATAATAGCAAATAGCAGGAAATCGGGAAGCAATTGTCACTGTTTTTTTAATACAATATCAACGAAATTTTCATACGTAATATTAAATATTGTTATATTTTTACCACAACAATTCTTAACATAATCAAATTCATATTTAAAATATATTTGCCTACGCTCAAGGCGCCTGATTGGCTCCGCCATGTTACCTCTATCCTACTTTTTCTGCCTCGTTTACTTAATAAGTGACAGATAATCGACTGGTTGGAGATGTGAGATTAACCTTCTAATTAACATCATATCAATTTTCTTTTATTTTTAGATGGTTGGGAAAATCTCAATGGGAGACGATTCCGGTGGCCAGAGCTTCAGCTTCGTTCCTGCAAGACTTCCACCACGATCCCAGCATTCTGGATTACAATCCTCGGCATATAGCTATAGCTTGCATATCGTTGGCCCTTCAATGTTATGGTGTTCAGTTACCTTTAATCGAAGATGCCGATGATGAGGCGTGGTACAATGTGTTTGTTAAGGATTTGCCCAAGGACAAGCATTGGGAAGTCATGGAGAAGATTATGGAAGTGTATAATAGGGAAATTGAGTAGTTTGTAGAAAGTAACGGTGCATTGCGTGTCTTATGTGATAATTGTGAATAAGATTGATTTCTTCGAATCGGTATTTTTACATATGTAATAGTTACATAATTAGTATAGTATAAAGTATAAGATCGACATAACGTAAGCAATTTCTTTTGAGTTTACGTTTTTCTTTTATAATTGTGCTGCATTGTATTTGATAATTAAATAATTGAAATTGGATGTTGCCTTTGATTGAAATTATGCAGGGTGTTTTTGTGGTAATGAAAATTACAAAGTGGTATGAAAGTGACAGTAAAAAAAATATTTTTTTCCTTAAAACTTTAACACCCTGTATCTCAAAAATTAAGATGTTTAAGACAGATTCAAATGAAGTTTTTTCCTTAAAATAGACCCAAGAATCACCTCCTTTGAGCAATAAACAACAATCATTTATGAGGAGTGATTTATGAGGGAGATTTATTTTAGATGGAAATATGATTTCAGAGTTACTTATATTTCAAATTACATTCGACTGTTATACCAACTATTGTGAACTTCATCTTACTTGCCAATCTTCCACGTTAACCATAAACTACAGTTGATCAATTCACTTAAGTTGCTTACCTAAAATAAACAAAATCTTTCATATCATTAACGATAGAAAATTTTCGTTAGACTATTTGGTAATTTTTAGTAATTTCCGCGCAGTTAAAAATGTCCCTAGTGCCAATGTTAATTCTTCCATTTGACTTGGGGAATTTTACGACGCGCAGTTGAACTTCCGAAGCGATGTTGTCTTGCGTTAGTCTTAAAATTCCGCTCTTTTACGTTGACAGGTTATGTTTACAATTTGTTGTTTTTGCTACTTTTTATGCGATTTTTGCATTTTTCTTGCAATTCATGCAAGTTGACGAGTAGGTTTTGTGTTTTCCGTTCGTTTTAGAGAGTTTTTCGTGCGGTTTTCGGTTTGTTTTTCGACCTATTTTGATAGAGAACGGGACGGCGGAGGGAAAGAAGACTATTGGAATAATTGACCTAATCGTAAAAAAATCACATAATGTTCTGTTAAATCAATGCCCGCAAGCTCACATCTCCTCCTGATCTACTTTTTCATGTTTAAATTCAAATATTTAAGACTTTTTTAATTCGTAAACATAACCTTAAATTGAATATATCTGTCACATCAAGGATATCAATTACAACCCGGCAACGTTGCGGCAGGCTGGTCCTAGATCCACTAGTCTAACGAAAATGGACACTTTTGGTAAATATACACAAATTTACCTTACGATTTCTACAATCACCTTCACCTCCTCGAGCTGTTCAACACCTCTTCAGCAACGACTCGACCCACGAGCGCCTCCTGCGACTAGGCTTCGGCTCCAACGTCATCAGCTCCGGCACCATTCCGATCAGATCGGCCCTCCTCATCAACGTCACCATGATGTTCACCACCTTCTTGATGTCCTCGGGCGCGTTGACGGGCATGATCAGCGGCCCCACGCACTTCCCCAGCGTCGCCACCGTCATCTTGTTCCTCTTGTGGTGCGTGGAGATCTGCTCGAAGAACTGCATCAGGTAGGCCAGCAGGTTGACGTGGTTGGGCGGCAGCAGGAGGCAGGCCAACGGCAGCACGTCCTCCCTGTCGGCGTGGTCGTAGCAGGTCAGCAGGAACTGGTGCTGGCACTCGGGGATCACCGGCACCGGCAGCTCCTTCAGGAACTGCAGGATTATCTGGGCCACGTCGACGGGGTTCGCGTCCGCCGGCAGGGCTTCGCCTTTGTTTAGTACCGCTTTGATGTCTGCAAATAGGTCGAATTAGTCGACGATTTTGACTGGAGCGACGATAAAAACAAAGATTCCTGCGAATTAGTCTTCGTTAATCAACGATTTAGTTTGTAGAAACGATAAAAACAAAGATTCTTTACGTCCAAGCTATAGAGTAACTACTACCTTCCTGTCTAGCTCTGTTCCCCGACTTTTTGAACAGTTTCCTGACTTCTGTATTTCTCAAAACGAAGTTACACAATTGGTGGAGCTTAGCGGGAACTTTCATGGTTTGTCCGGTTCTAAGAGTAGTCAATTTACTAGGCATTTGGTCCAGCGTTAAGTTGTCTTTATTATAGTTAGGTGGTCTTCTATCGGTTCCCAAAGAATGTTTCGGTTTTTCGTAGCTAGTTGTGGCGTCCATGTGGGTCTCGTTTTCTCTATAAATGGCCGGTTCTATGCCTAAATTGGTCAAATAGTTCGTAACGTTTTGCGTGATGATGGATTTGTTTTGGAAATTGTCGAAGAAATAGGTGCATTTGCAAATCTTTGAGAACCTGATGGTCATGTTTGTGGGGATGAAACACTACAAATTTTTTAACTTGAAGACATGACAGATTAACGATTTACGAAAAAAAAACAGTCAATCAATCGTAAATTGTCAATTTTGGAACCTACGCGAAATAGAAATTGATCTGATTTACTTTCTTGCTTAATCTGATGTCCCGGTTTGATGAAAATTTCCTCCACTTCGGCGTTTTTCAGGACGAAGTTGCACAGGATTTGTAAACGTACGGGTATCTTCACCATTTGCCCCGTTCTGAGAGTGGCCACTTTCTTAGGCATCAAATCCAAAATAACGTCCCCTTTACTCCCGACGAACCCTTCGAATTTCCGCTTTCGAAATTTGCAAACGCCCTTCTTCTTCTTCGGCATTTCGTAGGTGGTCCCAGCATCGATTTGGGTGGCCTTTTGGCAGTAAACCACCGGTATGATCCCTAAATCGGTCAAGTATTTCACCACATTGCTCTTTATCAGCGACTTTATGTGGTAGTTATCGAAGTAAAACGAACACCTGCAATTTTTGGACATCCGCGGGTCGTTTTAGAATGAAATGAAGACGAACAATTTACTATGAATTTGTTGATCGATGAAATTCGGTGACGGAAACAACGCCTATTTTCCCGTTATGTCATCTATCGGAAAATAAAGCACGCTTACAGTCAGTTAATTAACTAGGAATAAACGTTTAATTTAACAAATGCTTCAACCCTCGTATACGCCCTGAAAGTCCCGTATCGATTTTGAGTCAGATGACTGGATCGCGAGAGCGGTCCAGATCCAGAATCTCTGGATTCCCTGTCACATCGAGGTGGGCGTAACTCCTTCGCTCAAATAATCTCACTCAATGAGCGCCAAATAAATTATGAAATTGCTCAGAAGTGAATTCGTGCTGTGCCTCGTCGTTATATCGCTCGAGAAATCCACCGGTGAGTGGAGTAAATTACTCTTCGAAACAGTAATTTAGCAATTTTATTATCGCGATAATTTCCAGCAATCAAGCACATCGAAGCCAACCCCGACGCCAAGAGGCTCTACGATGATTTGCTCAGCAACTACAACAGGCTCATCAGGCCTGTGGTCAACCACACGGAGACTCTCACCGTTTGGCTGGGCCTCAAATTGTCCCAACTCATCGAGATGAATTTGAAGAGCCAGATTATGACGACCAATCTCTGGGTGGTTCAAGTAAATCGAACAAAAACACCAGGATTCGTTACCGCTAATTTTTTGTACCATTTCCATTCGAACATGCGCTAGCGAATCGTTTTAGAATAGAGCTAAACGTTGATATTTTGTAGAGATGGTTCGACTATAAACTAAGATGGGATCCAGAGGAATACGGTGGAGTGGAAATGCTTTATGTACCGTCCGAGCACATTTGGTTGCCAGACATTGTTCTTTTCAACAAGTAAGTGGTCGATTCTTCGATTTCGACTTTAATGTTAATTTTTGCTGGTGTTAAGTGCTGATGGTAACTACGAGGTGACTCTGATGACGAAAGCGACTTTATCGTATACAGGAGAGGTGATTTGGAAACCGCCTTCGATTTACAAATCTTCCTGCGAGATAAACGTGCAATATTTTCCATTCGACGAGCAGAGCTGTTTGATGAAATTCGGATCGTGGACGTACAACGGTCTCCAGGTATTTGGTTTGTATATATAGAATAGGGAAAAATATATAAACGTTTTTTATCTACAGGTAGATTTGAAGCACATGGAACAGCAATCCGGTAGTAATATAGTTAAAGTCGGTATTGACCTAACGGAGTTTTATTTATCTGTGGAATGGGACATTTTGGCTGTACCTGCCACTAGAAACGAAGAATATTATCCATGTTGTAGTGAACCCTATTCCGGTAAGACTTGAGTATGAGTAAAAGTAAGTAAACAACAGTTAATTTTTATTGCAGATATCACTTTCAAGATCACCATGCGCCGCAAAACGCTCTTCTACACGGTGAATTTGATCATCCCCTGCGTCGGTATCACCTTCTTAACGGTACTAGTTTTCTATCTACCATCGGATTCCGGGGAAAAGGTCACCCTGTGTGTCTCCATTCTGATTTCCCTCACCGTGTTTTTCCTGCTGCTCGCCGAAATCATTCCTCCTACATCGCTGGCTGTACCTTTGCTGGGGAAATATCTGCTCTTCACCATGATTTTGGTGACTTCGTCTATATGGGTGACGGTGTGCGTGCTGAACGTGCATTTCAGGTGAGAGAATTCGGAGGATTTTTTTAGAAGGGGTGGAAAATTTGCTGGAAATTGTTCCAGGTCGCCGTCTACGCACAAAATGTCGTCGGTTTTTAGGAAGATATTCCTGCAGTTTATGCCCAAAATGTTGCTCATGCGCAGAACTACTTACTCGCTGCCTGAGTACGATGATACAGCGCCGCCTAGGGGATATATGAACGATATCGATATGCAGTAAGGGAATAAATCGGATTGAATTAAATTATAGTTATGTAAAATTTGTTTAAGATTAAGTATGGCAGAACCTTTTACTACGGATTTTAAAATAACGACCAGGGAGCCGAGCTTTGTGCTTCAAAACATCGAGCAGGATAACGAGAAAATGAAAGCTCATTCGTCTAGTAAGTGTACTTTTTCCGATTTCTAATATTTTTCTACATAATAATAATTGTTTTCCAGTGACAGGTTCTTCTAATATGACTCCCAAAATATTGTCGTCTAACGTCTTAGCAGCTCTACAGGGTGTTCGATTTATAGCACAACATATCAGAGATGCTGATAAGGACAACGAGGTAATATACAGGTTGCTCCATTCTTATCCTCTACTTATCCGATTTTAATAAAATTTGGTATACATATGTTATGCAATAAGACGAACCTCTTAAAAATATTTTGACAGTCGTACAACTTCCAGTTGTACCGGAAGTAGGCATCAACTTTGTTATTTCAAATGGAACTCCCTGTATATTAATATATTTTCGAAATCTACGTAAAATTTCAGGATACTTTTGTCTAAAACACTTTTTCCAAAAATGCATACTTTTTGAGTTAAAATTTTTTTTTGAAAAATTTGACCGATGCAGGCTTTTATAAATTATGGAGATAATTTGTCGAAATTATCAAAATAAAAAATGTTTGGCAAAAAAAAAATTCCTTCGAGCCGGATTTGAACCAGCGACCTATGGATAGCTACCGTTTCAAATTCCACTACAGTCCACCGCTCTACCAACTGAGCTATCGAAGGTTGTAACATTTTAATTCAAAACACCATTATATACTTGGATTAATTTAATTAAAAATCCATTCACTCACAAATTAAATTACAAGTAGATAAGGATTTAATCAGTCTCCAAATTTACTTATCGTTCAAGATGGTAATTCCAAATGTTGCAATGAGCAATCGCAAAGGGAAAACCTTGATAATTATTTTGACGTCAAATCGGTGTAATTGGGGTTACAAGTATTTTTTTTGTTCGCAGGTGGTTGAAGATTGGAAATTCGTCTCGATGGTTTTGGATCGATTTTTCCTCTGGGTGTTCACGTTTGCGTGCATAGGCGGTACTTGCGGGATAATTTTCCAAGCGCCTTCTTTATACGATACTAGAGTTCCTGTTGATCAGCAACTTAGCGAAATTACTTTATCGAAAATGTTTCAAATGCCGCCTTCGCACATACCGATATCTTAAAAAAAATTTTTTAAAAATCGGTGTTCTGAAAAAATTAAATTTCAGGTTCGGGTTTCATTTATACGGTGAGGACCAAAAGTCCGTCGCCCCCCCTTTAACTTTTGAATGGTAAGAGCTTTTGTCGCGAAATTTGGGGTGTTTATATTGGTGTAAAAATACTATTTATCGACGTAAAAATGACAGTTGAAACTTTTAAAATGACAGTTAGGCGCCATTTTGAAAAACTTTGTAGGAACTTCTTATTTTATTTTTTGGATGTTCTATATGTATATGGATCCGAGAGATTTCCCACACTTTCAGGACACCCCGTATAATTGTACAACAATTATATAACACAATATTAAAATTTATTTAATCAAAAATATAAACATTTATTTATTTGCGGGACTTTCCCATTAACAAAATAAAATATTTATTACAATAACAAAAAATATAAGAATAAGAAATGAATAATAAGAATATAATAAGAATAATAAGAAATATATGACTAATAAGAATATAATAAGAATAATAAGAAATGAAGTCAAGGAACCATATGTTAACAAATCAAGAAATTGTCAAATGAACAAATATAAATACCAACCGAATTAACTTGATTAGCATTATTGATTAAATTTAAATATCTGTTTCATAACTGCATTCATAAGATTTGTGGTGATGGCTGTTTGGTAAGAGTTGATTTAATTACGTATCCTCCACTTAACCTCACTTCTTCAAATTGTATAGAAAAATATTTTATAGTAAAAATATAGAACGTTTATAAAATAGTTAGTAGTAAAATAATAGTAGAATATTCAAATCACATTTGGAATAATTGTTTTAAATCTTGCAATGTAAGCTCATTTTTATCCACGGATTTCGTGCCGGTAAACATGCTATCCGCAATATTAATTTTTTTCTTCTGTATATCTAATATTCCCTTTTCGATGGTTTCCGCAGCCATGAGTTTATAAATAAATACAGGCTTCTCTTGGCCTACTCTATACACTCTATCAACGGCCTGATTTTCCATTTGGGGGTTCCAATGAAGTTCCATAATAAACAAGTGATTTGCACCCATTAAATTTAAACCAACGCCTCCAGCTTTTAAAGACAATAACAGGATCTTAGTCGAACTTTTGGGGTCGTTAATCCTAAAAAATAATGAATATTGTTAGCAACAAGATGGCGGATGACGAGAAACATCCACCTGATAAAGGTAAATTTATAAAAAATTAAAGTAAAAAAATTAAAGTGAACATAAAACGACATATTCATTATTGTTAGTAATGAAAAGAGCCTAAACCAAAGAAAGTTCCGGATATAATAATAAAAAAACTAATAGAGATGGTATAATTGACTTTTGATTGTTTTGGTATTAATTTGATTATTTAGTTATTTAAATTTATGTATGTATGAGTTAATTTTAATTTTATTGGTTTTCTTGTTGAAATGTAATAAATAATTTATCTACTTACTGATCAATGATTTCCTGTCGTTTAGCTACAGGTACTTTTCCATCTAACTGGCAGAACGGTATATTTTGTTCCTTCAAATGATGACCTATTAAACGCAGGAAACTCGGCCATTGGGACACGACCACTGCTTTATCATCGTTGTTTAAAAGTTTCTCTTCAATAAGTTTGAATAACACGCGCATTTTGGAACTCATTCGCGTCGTTTCGAATATCGGATGCGATGGTTTTATTACAGCATTGGCGGCCTCTTTCGAATTGTTTCCATTCGGATGATCCGATAAGGACAAACTAAAAAATTATTAATCAAATACCTCCGAATTTATTACGATAGACTCACTTTTGTAATTCGTCTCGTATATTAAAACCCTCCATTTCAGCCTCCAATTCATCGATATCGTCTCCCAATACATTAACGTCGTTATCTTCGTTCAACATATTAATTATCAACGAAGGATGGTTGCAAATCTGTCTTAATCTGAGAAGCCTAACTAAGATTTCATGTTTTTTGATTTCCTTTAATTCGAGCAAGCTTTGTCTCATTTTGAAATCTACCTCGTTTGGTTTTGAGTTGATATCGATTCGCTTCTCTTCACGTTTCTCGGCCTGCTGGTGGAGAAATTGGGCAAACAACGTTTTGGAGTGGATCAAAATGTTATTGTAAATTTCGTGTTCTTCGGCGTCTAGAGGAACATTAATCATTTCGTACGTTCGTTCCGGTAGAACGTTCAAAAGTTTCATATTCGATAACTCATCTTTCGTTCTTCGCAACATAATGGAGGGTATAATTACCTGCAAAAGCCGAAGGAAAAAAATCTTCAATGCCACCCTAATGAATAATAAACGTTAGCAATGCAACTGAATATAGGAAACTAACAAAAACTATGAATGAAGCCAAACAGCAATGGCATACATATGAAAATAAACAGTAATAAACAGAAAATAGGAAATCAAAAGTGAACTACTAGAGAGAGGTTTTAAAACACTCTCCGCGGAAAATAAACTCAAAAAGTTTAAAAAAAACGACCGATTTAAATATATCAAACTGCCAGAGACAAGCATAAGGACCTTGGCATTCCAATGGTTAAGGACGAGGTAAAAAGGTTTGGAAAGAAGCACGAAAATAAAAAAAAATATTTACCGTGCGCAATCGTTCGAAGCCTCCTTCCGACTTGTCGTCGATCAATCTCTTCCAAATGGTCAAATCATCGAACGGGGTACATCTCAAGAATTTCAATAGCGCGTACATATCCGATTCCTTGTTGTGTACAGGAGTACCCGTCACGGCCCATCGACATTTCGAATGCAATTCGCAAACGGCATTGCTCGTTTTGGATTTGCAATTGCGAATTTCATGAGCCTCGTCGATGATTATCCTCGACCATTCCACGTTAAATAGGGGTCCTTTCTTCGCAAATTCGCCGCTCACAAGCTTATATGTAGTGAAAACCACGTCGTATTCGGCGAGCGTTTCGGCATTAGTTTCCCTTTTGGGACCGTGGTGTAAATTGAACGATAACAGTCCATCTTCAGTCCTTTGAACCAGCTCTTTGGACCATTGATTTAGGAGACTTGCCGGGCACACTACAAGAGTCCCGCCTTTGTCTTTGTCACTAGAGCGTCGATTTATCCCATTTCGATCGAGTTCTCTGCTCTTCAATATCAACGAGATCATCGTTAGGGTTTTCCCGAGGCCCATATCATCAGCTAGGATGCCTGGAATGTTTACGAGACAGTGTATTATGTCAAAATTAACCGAGTTTAATGAGGCATTTTTTGTACAGGGTTTCGAAAAAGGCGCATCGAACGCGACCCTTACCACCGGGCGGTTTTTGAGTTTCTCTCCAGATCAACCAAGACAAGGCGCTCCTCTGGTGTACCTTCAATTCGACTTTTAGTCCTTCGGGGGGTGCCATGAGGTCAGTGTCCTTAGGTCGATTTTCTATGGAGATGTGCAATTGTTGCAATCTATCCATGGTTAATTGCCATTGTAGATCGATAGTCGCTGGGGCTTTCTTTCCGAATGTCTTGGGTTGTACGGCTCTTGCGCTGGCTGCGATTTTCGCCCAAGGCGCAAGGGGCGATTTCTTTTTGTTCGGTGCTACTTTTAATTTCCTTATTTTCGATTCCTGCTCCGCGTAAGCTCGTTCCAACGTGTTTTGTCTGGTTTTTATAGACAAACCGTTGTCTGGGAGGTTGGATAAATTCGTGTTATTCAATGAAGCAGTGTTTGTACGTATGTCAACTTTTATTTTTTCCAGTTTAATATGTTCTTCCATATGTTGGGATTCGGTCACCTAAATATCATAAAAAAATTTTGAAGATAATAATTTTTCATAAAACTTACATTTCTGCTTTATTCTCAATTAAATAGGTTTTATAAGTTGGCCATGTAATTTCTTCTCGATTTACTGATTGTTAATTTTGGTACTTGTACGATATTACATGGCCAACTTGTAAAACAGAGTTATTTAAGAATTAGGCTGAAAAGTAAGTTTTAAGTAAAATTTTTAATATCTTCAAAACTATTAGGTTTAGATATAGGGAGGTAAATATGAACTTCCCTTATTTTTTATCGCTGATTTCTTTAAAATAAAATAACTGGTGGTTCCATTAAAAAAAGCGAAGAATTTAGATATTTTTGATGTATAAAATAAAAAATTTTCCAACACAGGTTCAAATACCTTTGACCTTCCTAGTGGCTACCCTACAGAAACCGTTTCCATATCTTTAAGAGGATCCTCATAAAAAAATATTTTATTAGGGCCTGCTTTGGTAAAATTTTTCGGAAAAAAATTAATAACTCAAAAAGTACGCATTTTTGAAAAAAGTGTTTTAGACAAAAGTACCCTACAATTTTATGTAGTTTTCAAAAATACATCAATATACAGGGTGTTCCATTTGAAATAACAAAGTTGACGCCTACTTCCGGTTATTTCTCCTGGTAAATAAGTAAATAAATAAAAACGCTGTGTAATGAGTGTTCAGTAAACTTACTAGAATAAAACTGTCTGGGATATCTTCATCACTACGTTCTCTATCAGCATCGTCGACATCTTCATCATCATCTTCGATATATTCTTGAGCATCTTCATCTTCGCTGTCCGATAAAACGTTAATTTTCTTCTTGTGTTTGTTAAATTTTGTAGAAACAAATTCATCGACGACTTCTTCGGTTGAACAGGAGGGCAAGTTTATAGAAGGTTCTCTCCAGTTAGTCCACTTAGAAGACATTTTATAAAAGGTAATTTATAAATATCGATGGAGAAACTCAGTTTTTGCGTGTTTATAAAAACTATTAACTAATAGTGTATTTTGTTTATGACTAATTTCTTCTTCTCGTTTGTTTCAGGCTTCAGCTACACTTGGCGTATTCGGCCTTTTACTGCGCCTGAAGATAGTGGCACATCTTTCTTATTATTGTACACTTTATTAATAACAAAAACGAACCTATAAAATAAATGTAGACATTAAAATTATAAAAAATTATACAAGTTGCGTTTCTCTTAAGGATTTATTTTAAGCACACCTAAATAGGAATGCGATAACAAATGATTATATAATCTAATACAATCGCTGAGGGGGTCCCATTGAAGATTTAATGTGAAGAGATCGAACGTTCTGCCAATGTTTCTTCAACAACGAAACCAAAAAGTTGACGGCCAAATGGACGTTTTGAACGAGTTCATCGGCAGTCATACCAACATGGCCGACGGCAACAGAAAGACAAAGTACCTAAAATAAAAAAAAGATACCATTGTAGAAAAGTTATTGACCTTAAAAAATCAAAAACAACCAGATATTTAATATTTTTTAAGTATAAGAAAGCTTAAGATTCATTTAGAACTCTCTAGAATTCTTTAGAACTGTGAAAACCTATTTACAATGCCTATCTATCAGATTTTCAGATATTCTATCAGATTTTTTCATGGAACTTGAACGCACATGCAAAGCGTTCATTCACCAAACTCTTATAGCGTATCGACAAACGTACCTTCTTCATCTGGAACTTGATGGTGGCCTTGACCTCGTCGATTTTCTGCGTCATCGATTCCTGGTGGGACAGCAGCCCGGGGAATTTACCGGCCTTGTTCAGCCCGGGACCCAACAATCTCGGAATCTGCTTGATGAGCGCCTCCGAAGCGAGAAAGGCGTCGTATTTTTTGGCCAATTTCTTCACGAGCTTCTTGTTCTTGTTCAATTTCTTCAACGCCTCGACGTCCATGTTGGGTACGTTATTGGCTGTGGCCTCGTCGATGTGCTGTTGATCTCCCAACACGCATACTTGCATTTTCGGGCGAGGAATGTGCTTCAATCTACACGATAAATATACAGGGTGTTAATTAATAACTTTAGCTGGTGATTCTGTATGGAAAAATAATGATATTTTGCTGTCTGCAAATGCTTCGTTTTCGAGATACGGGGTGTTAATTAACACCCTGTATACAGCAATGTTTATTAAACAATTACCTAAACTTTTATACGAAAAGAAGGCTTGTCGAATGACTTTAAAGCTACAATTACCAAACAAGTAAAAATAGTAGTTATAGCATCCGAATAATTTTGCACTGCTAATCCATACAAAACAATTATCGAGTAAATTTCTTGTTGGCTGAGCAGTGCGAATAATTAACAAATAATTTCTCTCTACTAATACACTAGGTAAACTTACCAACACCTAGCGTCCAATATCCAATTTTCTACACCATATAATAATATATTTAACGACATTCGTTATAGATAAAAATCTATTAAATGTCTCCCCGGTTGTTTTAAGACCCCGGGTGCGGGTCCGCCGACGTGCGGCTTCCTGGCTTAGTGCACATTTTTAGGTCGAAATTACATTTTACATGAAACATAACCTAAAAATATTACTAATCAGGTTACGTACTTGACTGTTCCGCTGAAACGCTTGTCCTTTTGGGGATCGTAGTTTTTCAAACCGATCTGGATTTCGACGGTTTCCAAAAAGTTCCGTTTCTTTTCCTTGGCGTGATCGAGCACGCCATTTACGCATTCGTACAAAGTGTCACGAGATACTTTCGACCTGAAATTTGTAAAAATTTCGGTGTTACGTTATTCGAAATATAATAGAAATGCATGATTAGGAAAAAATGGCTAATTTTAACGCAAGATGGTTAAGATTTTTGAAAATATTAATGTACTCACGTCATTTTAGCTTCAAGCTACGTCGTATTTATCCGACCGAACAACAGTGAAAGAAAGATTATCAAAAAAGTGATGAATTATTTGAAGCCTGTCAGTTGTCACAAATGCCACTCACTGTAGCCAACATAAATAACCTCAATGTCACCAACTGTACTTGGTGCTTATAATGCTTACGCTTGTGAATATTTGATTACTTAATACTGAATTTATCTATTGTTAAGAGTAATTTCATACATTTTTAGATGTATACTACTTGTAATAATGATTTGGTGTAAATGCACAAACAAATCATGTAATTTTCTAGAATCACTGTAACCAATCAAAACCAACGATTCTAGAAACTTCTTGAAATGTGGTAGTGAAATAAAATTAGCACTTTGAAGTTTGAAGTTGATATTTCGTAGTGACAGTGTGACAGTGGTGGATTTTTGTATTTGTACCCAAACAAGTGAAATTGTTCATATAATTTGAATATTCAAATAAAATATATTTACCACAATTTTATAAAGCGAATTAACGCAAACATATGCATGGACACAAAGAAAATGACCGGCGAGCCTAACCAAAATCCAACATCGGTGTTTGGATTCGATACGTATCCACCGACTTTCCCAACAAGTTGGAACCAGAATAATCCGTTTGTGAGCACCACGACCCACTACAACCCCCCAATTAGCGAACAACGAATATTCAACCAGGATCCCGGCCTGTCGTTTTCCACTCCCTTCAATGTGCACCCAACAAATCCCCAAATAACTACGCCTTTATTAAATATCTCGAGCAATCCCTACGAACAGCACTTTTCCGGATTCTCCTTCGGTAGTACCAAACACGATGCAGAAGTGGTTCAATTTCCTTTCGATACGTACAACAAAGGGTTCGGGTTACGATGCAAAAGAAAAACCGAATCTCCTCCGTAAGTGCTATTAAACAATTAATTATACATTAAAATATATTACTATTTTTTAGTTTACGGCCGTTGAAACAGCACATAACCGAAGAAAAAATGGCAGAACATATGTCGAAGCTGCACATTAGCTCAGAAACTGCACCTCCGAAGGAATCCGAAGGCGTTCGAATGCAGCGTCTTTACATGTGCGAAGAAATGCGGAAATTACAAACGGATTCGATATTACCTCAAAGCTTGCTGTCTCGAATAGAAAGGCCCTGTACAGCGTTAGTTCTTTGGAAGCCACCGGCGAAACTGGTGCCCCCTTTAGGTAGCGAATTGGATGTGAAAAAGTCAAAGAATAACGATAAAGACAAGTTAGATCGAGTAACGGTAGAATCGGAAATGGGCGAATCAAATTTGAGTAATATGGATTTGGATACTTGTTAATTATTAATTCACATCTGATTTATATTATTCTACTTTCGAAGACTGATTAACTTAGTGAAAAGAGTTAAACAACTAGAATAATCATTAAAGTTTATACTTCGGTATAATGTAATAAGATTGCTGCTGTACATGCATTATTTTGAACTTAAAATTGTTCATAGTTAATTATTTAGACTAAAACTTTAGACGCTTGATGAGAAATGTTTGGTGATTGATTTTCATTTTTCAAACAATTTGTTTCTTCTAATGCAGTCATTAACATCCCTTAAAGTTGATTAATTGTAATGAAAACTTCGCTAAATACGTAAGATTAATAAGACGGTCTTAAGAGTTTGTAATTTTCCCGTTTAAGATTGTAAATGATGTTTTTTTTTGGTTTCTTGTGATACAATGCGTCGATTCGGTTTTATGTTAAACATATAAGATACTAAAAAAATAACTAACAGTTTGTTCGCTTCTAGCCAATTGAGGAAAATACGAATTTTTAGTTGTATTAGGAATTATTTTTTATAAAAATGGTTTCTTATTGACGCTCGTTTCTTGAAGGGTTGTTTTAAACGAAATTCTTAATAAATTTTTATTACATGCGTTACTTTTTATTAAAAAAATTTTAAAGTTTCTTCGTTGTTTTACTTTTAAAAAATGCAAGCATATGAGCTTTTTCACACGATGCAATATATTGCAACAATAGGTTAACTAATAAATTGCTGCAATATTGCAGTTGAAATACAAACGTTCATTTAAATGCATTGTTTTGAGCAGGAGATAAAAACTGCAATACAATATTGCTGCAATATATTGCACCTTGTGAAAACGCTCTAACGGTTTACTGATAAAATAGCGGTTTTTAACTTGTTGAGCTAATTTTACAAAGTATCCATAGCAATTCCTATAACTGTCAAATAACTGAAGTAAATCTGGTTGCATATATAAAAGGTAAACAATTCAATTAAATGATATTCGCGAAGTAATACACTCTATTTCAACGTGGCAATGAATTATTCCTAATATTTAACAAAACGAACGATTATATTAAAGAAAATAGAAATTCTGGATTTTAAATCGGTATGAAAATTAATAATTGTCCGTCGCTTTCCATAAATCCATTGCAGCTGACTGGCGGCGCATGCGCGTGTTCCAGTTTGAAATGAGCATGGAAGGCGGTGTTTAGGGTGGTATTTTTTTAACAACAAAAACTATTTATCCGTACCACCCTTCGCGAAAAACGTATTTCGGGTTTTTCTAACTGAAAGTGCGCTTTAATCGCCGCGTATTCCGCGTATGTCTCCGTTTGATTAGCGAACGTACCGATGGTAAGTCCCGATTACTTTTACATATGCGATTTGTTTATAAAAAACCGAATGTCATATGGTTTGTTTTTTAAATTATGCTCGATATTTATTGTAGCTTCGCTATCGGACGAACGCTTGTTGGTGTAATAACGCCGTTAAATTTTTAGTTGAGGTTATATTTGACCTAAATCGAAAACGAATAGGTATACAGGGTGTTCCTAAACATCGTGTACATCTGAAAGTGGGTGATTCCTTGGCTTATTTTATGACTAAAAGTTCATATAAACGTAGGTCCGCAAACGCTTCGTTACCGATCTACAGGGTGTTGAAATTTCAAGATTTTTTTTGTTTATTTTTTAGAGCTTTTGCAGTTTTTGAGATATTTAGCTCAAATTAGGTATAGGATATAGGGTAAAGAGTATAATTTGAGTAAAAGGGGGTCTCTTTCTGTATTTGTTATAATGTAGTTAATTAATTATGATTTCGGGTTTTTGTATTGTAAAATAAATCATTTGCAGAAGAAAATCGTTTTTAATTTTTTTCTCGATAACGGCCACAGAAACGAAAAAAGTTTAAAAATAAAAAAGTTTCTAAAACAAAAAAAAAGAAGAAGAAATTGAAAATTAAAAGTACCGATCGGATGACAACGGCAACTATGCAACTTGACAGTCAGTGCCTGCTATAAAAAAATAATAATAATTTTATATACAGACTTTGAATTTTGACAATATATATTTTTTGGATGATTTAATTCTGCTTTTTAACATATTCTATCATCCCTTATTAATATTGAACTAAATTCTGCAAGGTATTTAAGCTTAATCTATTTTGTGTATTTATTTTTAAAAGTTGGTTACAATGCTTGTCAAGTATGAAGACAGTAGTGACGTGCATTGATATTTGTTTTGCACCGACTATATTAATTTTGTTTGTGTGTTGTGTCAATTAACTTCAATTTGTTAGTTGCAATCGCGGATTCATCGGGGATTTATAATGATGCTAATAGATAAATATCCTCGGGGTTGTGCGTGAAATGCGTGATTTATTAGGACAATAAAAAAGGTTTCCTCTATCTAGAATGAGATGTGCTCCACAAGACACATCTCGGTATTTGCCTAAATAATGGGTCGATTTATTTGTGTTCCCACATCTTTTTTTTTTGTTTTCGTTGGATCTCCTCTCTTATCTCTAATTCCATTCGTTTCGGCTTCGTTGGTTTTATTTTCCTTTATTTGACAATCATTTGTCTTTCCAAATCCGTTTTTAAAGGTTTCTAAATTCGCTAGATAATTACCTACAATCACACAATCGTTGTTCAAACTTACCTGCATATATTTAAAATGAACTTTTCAGTAACATTATTATTATTATTATTATTTACAATTATTATTTATGTACAATACCCTCAAAATAGAGCCCTTTTGTACACACAACATTGTAAATAAGCCATTGTGTTAAAAGTGCAACGTACTACATACGCGTTTGTGGATATATTCTCAATAGAATGTGAAAGCAAATTCTGAGCAAGCATCAACAAAAGCCGAGGGGTTGAAAGCATTGTTTTACTGTCAAAACTCCATATTGGGACAATGTTAGGCTACTATTCATTAGCTCACTCTGCATTATGATTGTTTTATCGTTTATTCAAAAACGGGAATAGATGTTTGTATGTACAATATTTCGTAAAGTATAAGGCTATCGAAAATTCTCATTTCAACAAAGCAATAAGTGTTTCTAATAAAACAGACATACCACACTCAAAAATGTTTTGCATATTATATAGTTGAAATGCCATCACTAAAATGTCTTTGTTCTCCAAAAATTAGGTATACCTACATAATTTCAATGAAACTCCCGCTGGTTCAATTCCGCACATTCCGTCATACCAAAAACGAGTAAAATCAATTAAAGAGAACCATATTTTTCCGATCTAAAGCTGTCAACTTCGTCGTGCAAAATTTAAACAGGCCTTCGAGCGTTTTTAAAATTCGATTAGGTTGATTGCGAGGCGATCGCCTCTCTCGCATGGCATCGAATTTTCGTTAAGGGAGGGAAGTAATACCCTTTTAACTTGGTTCAATTTCCTTTCTGGACGTCTATCGCCATCTCCGGTCTCTGATGAACTGGCCAGTTTGCAAAATTTAAATTGCCCTTCCCATATACCTAACGGGACGCCTGCAGTGAGGTTGGAGTTGTGGAACAGGGGGATCATGATGTGGGTTAAAATAAATGACGGGTTAAAACCTGATAGTTAACACCCTCTTTAGATAGATTTGGAATTCTCTATTCCGTTTAATTTTATAAACTACTAAAAATTTAGTTTTTCCTAATGAAACGTAGAACTTATTTTTTTCGCATTGCAGATGCTTTTTCCCACGTGTGAAGTTTTCTTTTTAATTTCGGATGATGAATCTGCTTCAAAGCCTCTTTTATTATCCCTCCTACTCGAATATATTTTTTCTCACAAAAGGCCATTCCACTTCGTATCCCCGGCCGCCCGGATTTTCTCCTTTATTATATTTCCCAGTCTATCCCTCTAATTTTTCCAATTACCAGTTCCGAATTGTGTCATTACTGTCATTACGAACACTTGCTGACCGTTTACGAAAAATTATTATTCCCGGGAATTAATGGAATCCCGAGGAATTAGTTTCTTTTTGTTCGAAACTTTTACTTGCTACCGTTCTAATGGGAAAAAAGCGAAAGCCGGGCATTTATTCAAATCTTCGCTTTTCGAATTTTCGGATAGTAACTGGAGTTAATTTAGAGAAAGTTTCCAGAATTTGTTTTCAACTGCTCTTGAAAAGGAACAAGGAGATTGGAACACTTTTAAGTGATTAGTGATTTAATTTTGTCGCGGAGATCGAATTCGGAGATTTTGAATTAACATTTGGAACAGTAGATGCGTTTAATAAAAATTTACATTGTAAACAAGAAAGGTAGTTAAATATTCTTATCCATATTTTATATACATCATCACCAATTTTATTATAAAGAGTCCTCCAATATCGGAATTACAAATGAATAGACACTTAGTACCTAAGTTTGTGATTCACTGCTAAATTCACTAAATTGATTAGTACGTCCTGCATTATTGATTTCGGTATTTTCTCACGGATTTTGGATATTTCTTGAGCATAAAAATTATCGGTGAATTTTCTGTATACTTCCAGTAATTCTAGTTCTTGAAAAATCGAGTACAATTTTTCTACAGATTCTTCATTATTCTTATCGAAGTTTTCTTCCAAAATCTTTCTCTGTCCAGCATTGGCTCTTTTGTAAGCTTCCATTAGAAACCAAGAGGGTCTCCCTAAGGAAATGTCAGTACACTTTCGAATTTTACCCTTAGAATCATAAAGGTCGATAACATCATCCTACGAAATTCATAACATCGTTAGTTAAATTACCAAAATTAATAATTTTTTTGATTATGCTGTAACTAATTAGTAACTCACCTCTACTTTTAAATATTGTGATATGTCGTTACAAACTTCATCAGAAACTTTCTGCCAGTAATCATTCTCAACATTGGCCAAATACATTGCAGTAGAAAACAGATTAGAAAAGTAAAGTTTGGTATGAACTTGATATTTTTCCAATTCGTTTATATGGTGTTTTCGGTTATCCATCATGTAACTTACGTTGATAAAGGCGTATCCCCTTAAGAAATGTTTCTGTAGAATGAAGTTATGAGGATGATGCCTTAGGTGATTTTGCAATAGAAATATAGCACCGGTAAGTAAAAATGCTGCATCTGTTATAGCGTCTTCTTTTCCTACGTCTGGTAATTTACACCAAGTCGTTTTGTTGTATCGCATTTCAGAATCATCCACAATGTCATCACTTATAATTACCGATGCATGTATCTACAAAATTGTTAAGAATTTATTACATTTCTTCTATTTAATATTTTGAATAGTTAGGTACTTACTAATCTGTGGCACCATGCTAAAATACACGCCTTTTTTAAATTTTCATCATTTAACAGGGCTGGTTTCTCCAGTAATTTGTAAGTTCTAAGAAAGATAAGAGGAAAAGTTAAAAACTTTGATTCAGTATTGATATTGTAGTCGATGAGTTTCTCGCATCGATTTCGTATTTCCTTGTTATCTTTATGAAGAACTAGATGTTCTTCTATAATTTCTTCCTTGACGGCAGGCAACATCGATTTTAGATGCTCCTCTTCGGAAAACAAGTCGACGAATGGTTCATTAGCTTCGATTTCACAACTGAAAGCACTGGAAGTTTTTCGCGTTGAAAAGAAGATGCAGATATGAATAATTAAAATATTTCATACCGATTGAAACTCCTCTGCAACAACGTTCCAAAGTTACCCGAGACTTTCGGGATAATGCGACAGCTCGAATAGTAATTCTTTAATATAATATTAAACATTTCTTAATTAATAGTAATATTTGGACGAAATAAATTGGTAATATGAATGATATATTATTTATAAGTTAGTATAATACGCGATAGAATAAATTTGGAAGGAAGCGAAAAAAAGTGAAAAAAATATAAATTCTCATGAAAATTTACATACAATATCTTATTAAGAAGTTGTGAAATTGTTATGTTTTTTTTATTTAATTACTACATGATTGAATGAATGTTTGTATGCCAACCATATGTGTTAACTCCAATTAAAAAAAAGATTTAATGGTATTGTAATATTACATTAATCAATTAATATGATTACTCTATTAATTTTAGCCAACAAACTACTAACAACAAACATAAAGACATTTCTCAATAATACGAATTCGTTTCATTAACTTTTTGTTCAATTAAGAAAAACAGATCTTGATATACTTTCTAAAATATTACCGGGCTGAATATAATTGCGTTTGGGAGATGAAAATTTTGTATTTTAGCGCCGGCCTATTGAAAATAAAGCACTAGTAAATTAACTGAAAACTCGCCGTCCTCTTCTACATCGATTCGAACCTGTTTGTGTTTGCTCCCTTTTATTTTTAGCAACCCTTTCGGCTTTTAATTTTCCGCGGAAGATTTATTTTGGCGAGAGAAAGGGAGAATATTTATGTATGTGGTTTATGTAGCGAACTCGTATAATTCAGAGATATTTTTTTAATGGTTTTGCAACTCCCAACGTTTTATCTTTTTTTTCGGTTCCTATACCTACTTCTAAAGTATACTAATAAAACTTAAATTTTTATGGTGTTTTAGGAAAGGTAATTTGCAAATTTTAGATTAGTTTAGTTCACTAGTAGATGTTCCGTGTTTGATTACACTTGACATAAAATCTGAAAAAATATCTGAAAATATCTGAAAAAATATCTGAAAAACTGAAACTACTGGCAACGCTGTCGCTAGTCAAATTTACAAAATTGTTCTGTGATTTCACATTTATGTCAGGCGACACCATCATTTACAGGAATATATCATCATCATTTGCTAAAATACTTTGCTAAAATCGACCATGTTTTTTAGGGAAAGGTAACGAGAATACAAATAGAAATTTCGTTCGGAAAACACAATAATAAATCTAAGAGATAAGCAACGCAAAACTAATTTCCCGAAAGTGCTACTGACCGTTCGGTCAGCGGATCGTGTTTCAAAAGAATCCATCAGAATGTGGAAGATGTGCCAAAAAGTAGCGTGAGGAGCGCTATCTTTCTCGGTCATCTTTATTGTTTTGTAGCGCGAAAGGCTTGTTTCTATTGTTGCTTTTTTTTGATTTTACCGAATTGTTCATAACTACTATCGATGAAAATCGAAAAAGATTTATTTGATATGAAAAACAGTATAGATAAAAGGAGATACACACACTCATATCGCACTTGAAATCAGGTATAAAATGTTATTGCCTTGAATACAGGGAAAAGAAAAAAGAATGATTTGGATCGAGAGAAAAATATGCACAAACTGTATAGTGCACTGAGAAAACCACTCATTAAAATCAAGCGAAACTTGTTAACTATTAACTCACCACAACTTTGCATATGGCGAACATCATCTTAGATACATTTAAACTAAGCGCTCTTTTAAACCATTTTCACTTGTTTGTTAACTGTTAACGAATGGTACATTTTATTTTGTAACTCATTATGGTAAATATTACATAATACGGTATGTTTAGATCTAAATAGTCAAAGTTCCAATTAAAATTAGTAAGTGTTTTATTATTTTTTTATGTAGTTTTTTTATTTTTGCATAGTGCAATTATTTTTAATTAAAAATATAATTTGTTATAATTAAACATACTTTTGTCGTATATTTATTTTCCTTTTTTAATATTAAACTAAAAACACAAATTAAATATTAAGAAAAGTTTATTAAATATTTTTAGAAAACATTTACAACGTTCAAAGCATTCAAAGCTGTATTGGTAATGCATAATTTCTGTATCACTGTAACAAAACTTGTAATAAAATAAAACATATTTAAGAAAACCGCATGTTTTTATGATTAAGCGTTGAAAAACATAAACTCATGAAAGGGGCTACTATTCATTGGGACACCCTGTAAATAATATGCAAATAATTTTTGAGTATGTGTATTCCATCTTTCATAATATCGTTGAAACCTTATTTTACCAATACCTATCAAAGTAATTGAAGGTGAATTAATTAAAATTACCTTATAGTGGAAGTAGAATGTAGAAATTAGGTTATATAAATGATGGATAACGTATCATAAGCCACCACCTGATATTCCATGGAATATTCCAACGTTAAAAATGCCGCGAGAGGGGATCGAATTCTCGACTATTATATTTCTAAAAGGCGTATTATATTTCCTGCGGCTGGAAATATAACGTGGACGTAATAGAATGTCAAGTAGTCTTCAGGTTGACTCTCGTAAATTCAAGAAAACGGGAAATCCCCCTTCAAACTTTTTAGCTTATTTAAAATGCTCCAATGATTTGAATATTACTTTTGTATTCTATAATACTTTTTTCTTTTTCCGAGACTTCGAATCCTTGCGAGTCTTAAGAATGGGATTCGATACTTTTGATGTAAGTTGAATTGATTCGGTGGAGTTTTGAAAAGATGGAAAATACGTTTTTGATTTATTCGGAACTTTCACTAAATAATATTATAAAATAAATTTCTTAAACTCTTAAATTATCCAAAGTAACGCTACTGATGTAATGGTTTGTCGTTGGTAAGGGTTGAAGTGTGGTAAAAAGCCTTTTTTCCGTTCCGTATAACACAAAAAAGAATTTTGGTTCTTGACATGAAAGCATATTTAAAGCTGTGAAATTGCCTTTATATTGAAATCGCCATATCGAGTGGATCGGGAAAAATCTTTCAACAAAGGACCGAAAATCTCGGTTCTTTTTTCTCATATCTGCGTTCGTATTATTTGAATGGTAAGCTACGATTCGAGCGGTGTGGAGTTTTCCAGAAGTGATTGTAATGTATGGATGTGAAATTCCGAGGAAAACCTGGAACTGCTATTGGAAATGCCTGCTAAACTGAGCAAATGTCTTTTTGAAAAAATGAGAAAGGGAACGAAACGAAGCGCAAGCATGAGAGAAAGATTTTAGCCAATGATTCGAGTATTTGTAACCGTTTCGTTTATTTATATTTTGAATCTGTAGGGCCAGTATCTACAGAGTGTTCCCAAATGACTAATATTTAAGAGGGTGATTCCTGGACTTATTGTAAGAAAAAAACTTCATAGAGTCACGCTAAAGTTAAAGTGAGGCGCTGAATACGGGCCAATATCTAAAGTTATTTGTAATTGTTTTAATTAAATTTAGCACAAAATTAAGTGCAAAATTAAAAACCTTAATGATGTGGGACAAAATTCGGTTTCGCGCGGTTTCTAGCGTTCATTAAAAGATCAAAGTATCATCGACGTGAAAACTTTGAAGCCAGCGCCAGCACTTCCTATACTATACAGTTCATTCATAATATAGAAGATACAAATAGGTTAAAAACACGAGGTTTTATTCGAGTTAAACAAAACAGATTTTGATCTATAATTATCGTTATGACCTAGTTAAATTTGATGCACAAATTAACTAACTTTATGTTGGTAACCAGTATTTGAATCTACAAGTATATTAAAATTATTTTAATTAAATTTAGAATATTTTTACACTCGTGCAATAATGCACATTTTGTAAGTTACAATCTATAAATTTCACTTTGAATAAATTGTCTCTATTGCAAATGAATTGCAAAGTTTTATTTGGTTTCCTTTTGGAGGAGAGACTCGAAACAAAACGTAGAATAAAGACAAATATTATAATTGTGTTTCAAAACGAAAGCCGACAGATATTTTGTTGGCAAGGAAAATATTTGCTTTGTAGAAACCCGCTTTAGAATTCAGGGCACGGCTAAGATTTCATATTTAAATCATTCATTGATGAAATTTCAGTTTTAAGGAAATTTGGGTCGGATATACATTTCTGTGGATTCGTCAGAATTTCCGCGATATTGAATAAATAAATATTACCCGAATTTCTAATGAGAACGAGGGTGAAAAGGTGTAGTGGTTGTTTAATGTTTAAATTGCGTTCTTCTCTAAATTTAAATTTTACAACAAACCGAAGTTATTTCAAGAAAATTTTTATTCATTAAAAGCATTATAGTAGTTAATTAAACCAGTCATGCTTTCCCCTTATTTATTTACCTCGATAGATAAAATTGCTAATAATTTTAAGGGCGCTACTTCAGGGTATTTTTAAATGGAAAAATATAGGTTCAGTAATTCCAGTAAGATTCAAATTTGGCTTCATCAATTGATTTGAATCTTATACTTATACCTAATATAGAGAGTCCAAGCAATGAAATCTCCTATTTTTAATCTCTCCTACTTCATTACATATTTAAGAAAATTGCAATTAAAAACTGCCATTTATTTGCAATGCTATTTCAATGGCAAAACGTAATTCTAGTAAGACTCGAGTTTCCTCGAATGGATGTGTGAATAATTTTAGTAGGATGAAAAATACTTATTACAGAACGATGTCTTCTAGATTATATTGATCCACAGGGTGTATTAAATTGAAAAACCCTTCCACCTATTGTGGAAAAATTTAAGGCGGCCTTAAGGCGACTTGGTTAATTGCCGGAGACACCGAGTCTAATCAAATTGTAAATTGCTTGCAACTAGAACAGTTACAAAATAGTAAATAGAAGTGTAGCGTGTCGCGTCTGTTTAATTTGTAGTTTAATCATTCACACGCCGCGGGCTATTTAAAAACATTGTTATGCGATATGGAAGCTAGAAATACACCGGAGAATGACAACTGCGGAAAGATAACGAAAAAAAAAACACACATAGTAAAACGCTTTTTATTTTCTCTTATATTAATGGTCTGTATTTTTAAATAATTTAATACAACACAAAGGAATATACGAGGAGCGTTTCGAATTTTTCCGCGCACAAAAGCGTTTTGTAATCGCGAAAATAATTGATGAAATTCGAACAAAGAATAATCGGTAACCGCAGAGCTGGGATTATAAATTTCCGCGGGTCTTTCTTTACACCCCATTTTGTGATCAAATTTAATTATGACCCGAAGAAACGTCTATACTAAACCATCCCAAATTGCATTTTTTTCTTCCCCGAGGTTAGGTTATTGTTCGGTAAATTATTTGCAGGCAATGATGGAATTTTTTGGCGGAAAAATCCGGGCGTGCTTACGTTTTACTTTAAAAAGAAGTTTTACAGGGTGGTTACATTTTTTTTCTCTTTATTTTTATAATATAATATTGATGTACTAGTGTATACAGGGGGTATGTAATTGAATAACGATACTTCAGAATGTGAATATTTGTGAATATGTGTCCTAAACCTCTTAGTTTTCGAGCTACAGGGTGTTAAAATTTTAGGAAAAAACTTTTCTATTATAATAATCTTACTCCAGATATTTTTATGAAATTTTATATACACTTTTTAACACATTTACGAACTCTCAACATTAGCCTATAGTAGGTTACTTAATTATACCATTAAGAAATGATAAAGCAAATTCTCCTTCCTTTGACGATAAATATGCATTTCCGAAAATTTTATTTAAAAAGCGGACTCTCAGTATTTTGTACTGAATGTTTAGAAAATAAGCGAAACTTCAAAGTTACGGATTAAAATGTCTTAAAACTTCATTAAATCGAAATAGATAAACCAATTTTATAAAAATAAATTACAAATGAAAAAGTTCTTGATATCAACTTAAATTAGAAAACATGTTAAAATTTGTAGAACCCAACCATCAGGTTAGCTAATTTTCGCCAAACGAAATTCAACTTCGCCGAGTAAGGTACACACGATTTCCGTTGTTTCATTTCATTTGGTATAAAACTTTTCCGTTTCCACGCCCTTTCTAATCCGGCAAAAAGTATACGGTCAGTCTCGGGCGCTTTTTATACACCGAATCGTTTATTATGTCGGCCACTGAGTCAGAAAAACGCATACAAAAAAGCCCGGGGCGAGGCGAAAGCTCGGAGAAAGTCGCTTATGACATCGCCGCGGCCCAACATATTCGATGACGGAATTTTCCTCGGCGGATACCACGAGAAAAACCGTGATTTATGTGCTCGATTGTGCGGTTTTTCTCGCTCGTCGGGCGGCGTTTTGATGTTACGCGAAGTGACACCGAAAGATGCCCAGATAATGTTGTGCTTATTGAGTTTGAGGTACTACATCCCCTAACTTTAATCAAACTTCACACAACTTTTCTTCGTATCAAACAGATCAAAATTCAATACATAAATTTCACTTATTTTCCTTTCATGGCCGCCAAAGCACGCCCTCAAATTCATAATTCGTGGGGTAATATAGAACTATTTTTGGTTAAATTTTTCCACAATAGGTGGAAGGGTTTTTCAATTTAATACACCCTGTGGATCAATATAAACTAGGAGACATCGTTCTGTAATAAGTATTTTTCATCCTACAAAAATTATTCACACATCCGTTCGAGGAAACTCGAATCTTAGTAGAATTACGTTTTGCCATTTTAATAGCATTGCAAATAAATGGCAGTTTTTGATTGCAATTTTCTTAATGAAGTAGGAGAGATTAAAAATAGGATATATCATTGCTTGGAGTCTCTATATTAGGTATAA